ACCCACCCCCCCCCCCCCCCCCCAAGTATTTTCATGAATAAATTTTAAGTTCTACATTTTTTTTCTACTTAAAAAACACACCCTCCCTAATTCTTCAGTTTCCTTCTATGCTCTATCACATATTATTTTGATAAATTAAGTGGAAAATGGCTTTCCAATTTTAATAGTAGGTGAGTTTAGGCATATTGTTTTATTGGTTTAATTATATATAATTGTGATGAATTTTCTAGTTTTTAAAAGAAACTAATGATCAAAAGAAAAAGAAGTTTTAAGTTATTATACAGAGATATACTTGATAGGTTAACATACACATCTTTTTGAATGAAAATCTTGAAAAAAAAAAGTTGATATAGTGAAAGCGTAAAAAACTTCGAAGAGTTTGAGTTATGTATATTATTAATGGTGTAAAAAATATTTAATAATTAGGCGATTTATAAGATAATACAAACAAATTTATATAATTATAAGCATTAAGTGATTATCTGATAAAATTCACTATTAAAAACATGAATTTTCTGTTCGACTTTCCATTGGGAACCATTGGAAATATGCTCATCTCAAACCTTTCGGACAAAATATGTGGCATATATATATCAAATTGATAAATTAAGAATTCGAATGAGCTCGTAGCTAAAAGACTATATATGCAAATGAAACAATTGTTTGTGAAAGATTGAGCAACCAATTCCAAATCTTGGGAATTAGGATAAATATCTCATAATTATTTTTATTTTTTTTGCTCAATTAATGAATAAGTATATTTCATAATACTCTTTCTCACGTGTATACCCAACTCTTTTTGCCTTTTTCTCTCTCTTTTTTGTCTTTAATTTTCTTCAAAAAAAAAAAAAACTAAAAGACAAAAGAATAGATTGAAGTAAAGAATGTTATAAAAATGAGATTGGTTCAATTTAAGTAGATAAGCGAGTGTCTAGCTAAACAACTTAAATTAAAGTGAAATTGATAAGCTAAAGTAAGCATTTTACTATTTTAGGTTCAAATAAAATCAATTATCTCAAATAAGTATCTCCATGTATCAAGTTTAATGTAACCACATGATCAGTAATTAGTATATATATAGTTATGTTCTTATAATTGTGAAAGAACATCATTTGACTCATAATCTTAGTATTTGTTGTTGAAATGTATCACAATCATAGTATGAAATATTTTGAGATATCATTCACGATTACTGATATACTCTTCCCGCTCATTAGATTATAGAAAATTCAAAATAATAGTAACGTAAAACATCGAGTTAACAAGCCAGTTGGAATACTTGAATTGTTTTTATTTGGTATGGAATTATTGGTTTTGTAAAGATTTTGGGACCTTATTACATGCTTCAAATTAAAAAAGATTGAAATTGTATGTGGTCATATATTTTATGTCATTACGAAGAACACGTTATTTCCAATTCGCTAGTGTGTTGCGATATCTATTTTGGATTATTCTAAAACTGAGAATATATACTATTAAAATGTCAAATGTATGAGAAAACACAAAAAATCTATGACTTTATTTTCAGCTATGTTTATCATATTATGCTTAGTTTTCAAAAGAATTTGGTCAATTATGACATTTGACTCGCACTTTATGTACAATGTTTGTATGGATTGAGTTCTTAATTCGAACAATTCGCTATCAACTCAAAAGTACTCTCTCAGTATATGAATTCTTTATATAGGTCACACTTTCTTCTAGATAGAACTTGATGTTTGGATCCATCAACTAATTAATAAGTACTTTTTTTTAGTCACTTCTTACATTTTAAACACAATCTTTACATTTATGTTTGATTTATTTCGTTAGATTAACTTTTATAAAATATTGAGTATTAATTTATTTTCATATGATATATTATGCATTTATGAATATATTTTATCAATTATAGCTATAAAAATGGATAGTTAATGGTTAAATCCTCCTAGACTATCACATTTTTGTAACTTGTAAGTTACATATTTAAATTATGTCTTGATTTTGGGACTTCCATGAATTATAACTTTCAAGGGTTAAAATTATTGGACTTGAAAAATAACAAAGTGTTTGCTAACACTGACTTAGAGGCGTGTGGAGTAAATTAAGCTATCCACGTAATTTTTATAATAGTTGTAAACTCTCTTGAACTATAATTATTTTGTAAGTTTAATTCATACTTAAATTATAAGATGCTCTTGTTACCGCCTTGAACTATTATTTTTCAAGATTAAAAGTCCTACAACACATGGCAAGAAAACTTGTAATTCCTAATTCCAACATAAAAAGAGAGAATATAATGAAAGAATCAGTTTTCTTCGACCTTAACAACAAGCTAGCCCAACACCAATCTTTTTTGTTTTTCTACTTAGGTTCTTTTTTTGCTACTTTTAACTAGTTTATTTGATTTTTTCTATTAACTTTAATTTGACAGAATTTTTAAATGAGTAAAAACAGAATTATATTTACAGTCTAAACCACTTAATTAGTACAATGTCTAGACAAATTAATTGCAATTTTTTTAAACAATAAACACAAAAATACAAGTATGTACTACTGCCAATAAGGATTGTGGTGGAGTGATAAGTACTCTTTCATCCTTGAGTAGAGGTCTCGAGTTCGAGTCTTCCTAGGTACAAAGTCACCTTTATTACAGAGAGTTTTACCCCCAACGTGGAACTTCCTAGCGCGAATCTACATTGAAGGATCAGAACTTCCTTCAGACAACATCAAAATTTCCTCTAAATAATCAGGACCTAAATCCTCTAAAACCAACACATTTTCACAACTCATTTCTTTTTCTTCCTTCTTTTTACTATTACTCTTATTATTACCCTTTTTCATCATAGAATGCCATTTCTTCAAAGCCAAAACAGGTGAACATCCTTCTTCAAATCTACAATCCATCTCCATCAACGATCGATACACCATCTCCACTGGATAATTTAGCACCGCCATTGTCCCATGCAACGCGTATGCAGCTTGGTCATAAGCCAATGCAGCTTCTTCAGCAGTGTCAAATGTTCCTAACCAAACCCTAACACTATTTCTAGTTGAATCCCTTATTTCAGCCGCGTATTTCCCCCATGGCCTCCTTCTTACACCTCTATAACTAGTAGCCACCTCTTTTCGCGATCTTTCATTAGTTTCTTCATGATTCACATGAATATTATTAGATGATGAATCTTCTCTGGCTTCAGATAGAACATTAAGAAGAAGCATGTCCTCAGTGTCATTCTCATTGAAACCAAGATGATGATATTGTGAATATGAGTAAGATGAAGAATCCATTAATCTCGTCACGTTGAGAATGAATTAAAATAATTATATTTCTCAATCTTTCTGATTTGCTCCTACGAATAAATTAAGGTAGATAAAAAAGATAGAATACAAATACTAATGAAGGATTTCTCGAAAAATTATATGGATTGTTATTTGTTGGATGTGATATATTTGATAAAATTTGGTATTTGAACTTATAAGAGGAAGGTGTGATCTATATATAGAGAGAATGAATTGTCCACACTAATATATGATTTATTTATTTAAGAAAAGATGGATTGAAAGAGTCTACTAATTAATCATGTAGATATTTTATGGTTGAAAATTGATGGAGACTAGTGTGGAGTGTGGTCTTCTTAATTATATACTAGTAAATAAATACTAGGGGCTGCATGAATTAATCCAAAATTAATAATTATGCACGTGTGGTCAAAATGTTGGTCAAATGGATTTGTGGAGATTATAAGTGGCGGCCAACTCATCATGAAACCTATATATTAATATAACTCATGATCTCAGCACTGAGGACTTTGGTCTTCATTTGGTCAACTTTTTTTTTTGTGATTCTATGATACGTACTATGATCAAATTTCATTTATATGCTCGAATAATTAATAGCTTGTTATAATCGAGCATCTAAATATATACTCTAAAATATTTATATTAGATATTTTTAATTAAAATTTTAATTTTTTTTGTGTGTGTTCTCAGATGTCCATTACGTAGATAATTAGTTAACCATTTAAAATATGTCATCTCCTTTAGTTATACAAATTAGTGTCAATAAGTTAAAAAACCACAAGCATGTTCGGCCACTTGAAGATGATGTGTATAATTAAAGAAGGTCGATGATATATTTAGTGCTTAACTTATATATCTATGTAATAAGCATTTGAGAACAAACACAATTTTCCCCCAAAATTTGAACGAAAATTGTTTAATAGGAACATTTTATCATCATGATTCAGATACTCAATTGAAACTAGTCGTAGTTAAAATCGCAATTTGAATGTTCAAGTACTTAATTAAAACTACTAAATTGTTCGAAATTGGTTATTTTATGTCTCTAGAATATATATGTCACACAATGTGACGCTCTATATCAATTCTAAATTAAACTCAATTAATACTTTCACCTCCAAAATGTGAACATAATTTTATTATTAATTTGACACTTTGACTTGAGCTTTAATTGTCCTCGTCTTCCATTATCAAAAAATATCATGGCCTTCTAATTATTTTTTAAGAACTCATAAACCTCAAATCTTGAATATTGATATTACTATAATGTTTTTTTTTAATCTAGTAATTGTAACATATATAATAACATGTCTTCTTGTAATAAATCCAACTTCTTATGGCCAAAATACGAGTAATTGGTGGAGTATCATTTATATATACATTATTAGTTATTTTGTTTATAAAAGTTAAACTCCTTTTGTACTTGATTTTACCATGTCCATTTTAACAATCTCTCGTAAAACTTTGATGTTGGTGCGCGTAAGGGTGATAATTGTGTTATTTTATACTAATTTCTATTTAAAAGATTATATAACGAAAATAACATTTGTAATGGACTATAGAATAGTGCTGACTAGATATAATCAATGTAAAGTAATCGTTCATAATATTTTGCTCCTCAAAAATAAGTGTGAAGTTACGTTTCTTTCATAATTATGGTCCTAATAACTCTAAATTAGTAGTGGTAAACCTATGATTAAGATGTCATCAAAATAATTTTATTTAAATGCTTTGATGGATAATAAAGTGTGTAGGAGCTAGGGTCAACATTATTATTTCTAAGATAACTTACAATATACTTATAATCTACCAAACCAATTCTTTGAGATGCAACATTAGGGAACCATAAAGTTAAAATAAAAATGTGTTCACATTACTTGGTCGTGTCTTTTTATTTTTTCACTAGATAATTATATTGAGACTCGATTAAATTTAAATTCTCACATTGCAAAGCTCAATTCTTGAGATAGAGCTCCAAACATGATTTTTAAATCCTCTGAGGCTCAAATTCAAATTCTTGATTAAGGGTGAAGGAAACGTCTGAAGTTTGAACCATCCCATTATGATTCAATATTCAATATTTATATTGGAAATCGACATTGTTGGGCCCAATTCTGGAGACAAAGCTCCTAACATTATTTTTAAAAAATTGCTTGAATTCAAAACTCCTGATTAAGGGGAATGAATGTTCGAATCATGTTGTACAACTCATGTTAATCTCCCTTTGTTCAAGTTAATCCTTTCTAATTGAATATTCTTTCCCATGCAATTTGTCTGTCTTACTTTTTTTTATTTAATACGTTTCGGGATAAAAATTAGAATATTCTGCAAATCATTCTTCTAAGATAAAAGAAACAAATAAATAAACCTAAACTTTTTTTTATTGACCAATTCATATTGTTGGTCTAAATACTCAAGGAATTTTTGTGATTTTTCACGAGGATTATATTTGCATGGCTAGTGTTGCACGTGGTGAATTTTAGAATTAAAACGACAGCACGTGACACTAATTAAAAGGAAGAATTCATTGAAGATAGACATAATTTATATTCCTAGTCACTTTAGTTTCCTAGTAGTAATATATTAATGTCTGGTCAATATAACTGTAGCCTCTTAGCTATTAAAATTGTCCATATGAAAGTTGGTGAACTTTTCCTAATGATACTCATATTGAGGTTCGATTAAATTTAAATTCAGAATCTATTTCTAAAGACAATACTTCTAATATGGTTGTAGTGTTCTTAAGGACATCTTGCCAACACAGTGGATAAGATAACAAGGCTTACTCTTCAAGATTCGACAAGTTCTTACAGTTATAAATTAAAAGTAGAGACAACAAAATTTTAAAAAGAGAACAAAGGTGTCATTAGAATTTTGTGGTCTTAAACGTTTGAAATTAGTGATTATTAGTGGTTTTAGACATATTAAAATATTTGTGTGACTATAAAAAATAAATCATTGAAAGTATATACATATGAAGTTCTAGTTACATTATTTTCATATGTGACGAACATTCTTTTTTATAACAGATTAATAAGAAAATAATTCTATTCTTTTTGGAATAGAGAGTAAATAAATTTAAAAAATAATCCAACATTTTTATTTTAAAAAATTAGGGATATGGTATAAGTACCCCCTAAACTATGACCGAAATCTCAGAGACACACCTTAACTAAACTAAGGTCCTATTACCACCTGAATCCATTATTTTTTGTAATTTTGTCCACCTTTTTGGCTTACGTGACATCTAAATATCTACCACGCGACTCAACTGCGTGGAGTCACGGAGTGTGATAAGCCAAAAGGTGTACAAAATTATTTTAAAAAATGAGTTTGGGGGGTGAGGGTGGATAATAGGGCATTAGTTTAATTAAGACGTATCTATGAAATTTCAGTCATAATCTAGAGGATACTTATGCCTTATCCAAAAAAATAGGATAATTTAGAGAATTTTTAGTGGTGGTTGGAGTGAAATTTTTTATTGATAGTGTTTTACCCATCACTATGAATAAAATTTCCTTTAAAAAATAAAATGAAAATCAAAGTGCTAATTCCTATAAATTCGTCCTTTCTTTTTACTCTTCCAGAAGTTTTTGAATGTCAAAAATAAGTTCCATAGAAGAAGTCTTTGATTTATGGTCAAAAAGTTACTTTATAAATTAAATAATGCATGAAATTCAAGTGGAATAATTTAGTATGACTCTTTTTTGGGTTCTATGGATATAATTAAGTGGAAGATGAATTGAGCATCATGATTGAAACTTTGAATATTTTTCACAAAATAAAAAATTTAAAAAGGAAGTTTGAATATTTCTTGTTTGACTTGGATATGGAGAAGAAGAAATTTGTACAAGTTAACATCAACCAACCTAATTTTCAACAAATTAATATCCTAGTCTTGGATTTAAAATCTGTCTTAAAATAGTTAAATTGAATTTAATATTTTTTTAAAAAATGAATGTTAGAAAATTATATGAGAAATGTCAGAAATTATAAATCTTCTGATCATATTAATATGATAAGAGAATAAAAGAACAGATATCAGCAACATAAAAATTATACATCTATTTACTTATTTAACTTTACACTTCTTAATATAATGATAATTGATATATAACTAGACAAATAACTTATTTTTACATAAATTTCAAAAAAAAAAAATTAATTAGATTTTGTTACCAATCAAATATCAGGACATAAATTGAAACAAAATAAAAAAGGAATTTTGTCCTTTAGTTAAGCAGACGGTGCATCCATTTGCACCAAATCCGTGCATGTTTTGGATATAAATAAAAGTATGTACTTCTAAATTCTTAAATGAAATAAACCACTTAAAAAAAATATGGGATTAGTAAATTTCATTTTTACACTTCAATTCAATTTTGTTCCATTTTAACCCTTCAACTCTAATTTTTATGTTTCATTTTGGCACTTCTAAGTGATGTGGTAGAGAGTGTACATCACACTTTCTCTAAGAGAGTGAAAGATAAAAAAAAAAAAAGTATTTTTAAAAAAAATAATAGATTACCCTTCAACTCTATTTCTTTCTTTTATGTACCATTTTACACAAAATACTAATTTTATGATTTCTTTATTTCTATATATGTTATTCAACTGCAATTTTGCATTTTAAAAATCGACGATCATCTATTAATTATTGTAAAAAATTAAAACTGACGGATTATCATTGTTTTTTTATAAAAAAGTAACAATTCTTTTTAAGAGTTTTTCTATATTTTTGCGTGAAAAATAACCGACGAAAGTGCGTCGATTTTCTTTCTTAAAAAAATTAATGACAATCCAACTAAGTCTATCGAGTTTCAACATTTTTTTGTAGTGTTATTAATTAGCAATGAACATGAGTTTTTTTTTACTCGTATTTAGATGAATGAAAAATTAGAAAGTTGATATTTGAGTTATTCCAAGTAGACTAGATATGAAAAAAAATATATGTGATGTTATTTAAATTAACTAATTTTTTTTTTAAA